ACCAGTATCTAGTTAACCCCTGCACAGGGCAAGCCGAATTCAACAGCTAAACAGTACATCGTGTATATTTCTGTAGTTGTCGCTGGGGGCTGTGTGGGATTTTGTGCACCATCTTTTAGTTCACCTTAGCCTGTTGACTAAGGCCGAATAAAAGCCCCGGGCATATTCTCGGCGTGAACACTTTTATCAGCTTGTTCTGGTTTTACGTGTTGCTATTTCTTGTGTTGACACCTATACTACAATCCAGTGGTCGAACCTTCATTCGTCGTTACAACTAGACGTAAAATCGTTGCATATATATATATGTATATATATGTGTATACTGTATGGTTACACAAACCATCTAATCATAGATCTACAAGCAAGTTAGGCACTCTTTACATGCGGGTTTCAAAAACAGCAGTAATAATAAATTCAGTAAAGCCGTCATACATGTCAGCACATTTTTACAAACTAAACACCTCATTACATCAATCTTTTAAATTAAATTTGACAAATCAAGATGAGTTTTCTTTTAAATTCAGTAGCCAATCTAACTTTGAGTATTTGCTGTGAAATTGGCGAGGTTCATGTGCCACATTACATTACATTACATTGCATTGCATTACATTACATTACATTACATTACATTACATTACATTCCATTACATTACACTACATGCCAGTGGCTAACTTAACACATTTAGAGACTGTAATGGAGAACATGCTTAAACTGCCTGAAATTTGTCTATTCCAATTCGACCACTTAAAGTAAAACATAAAGAGGCCTACTCTTAATCATACTTCACTTTTATTACCTAATAAAAAGCTTGCTAGACTTCCCTTCTCTCCCTTGCTCTCTTCCTCCCTCTCTCGCCATCTCCCTCTCCCCCCCCCTTCTCTCTTGCTTTCTCTATACTTGTGTAACTTGTATGAAGTAATAGAGACACTACTTTACCAGTCTAGAACCACTTACACCCCACTCACTAAATGACATGCACTTTTGCCTTGTAGTGCTATTTACAAGAAAAATGTCACGACACAGAAGAATGTGGTTTTGTTTTCATATAACAAACTCGACAGAGTGCACTCACGGAGTGCATACCTCCGCCAGCGACATACACCATATGCCATACGACTCACGAACACACGAATAACCCACGATATACGCCAGCGTACTGACATGTACACGCTCCCATATAACATGTATGTCTTACGAGCTGGCTCGCCACTCGCTGCTGGCTGCTGCCGACTGCTGCTGGAGCTGGCTGTGGCTGGCTGGCTGCCTGGCTGGCTGGCTTGACTCGACGCACTAATATCGATCGCGTGAACACACGAACACACTAACACACAGACACACGAGAGAGAAAACATATAACCTCCTCGAACTCCGTTGGGCAGAGGTAACTATAATAGTACATACTCTTGGTAATTTTTGAGCTGGAGTAATAAATAATATGTCCACTAATAGGTGAGGCTTAATTTTGTCCGCTTCATGTTTTTATTTGTATATTTTTTGAGAGATAATATTTTTAAGTTCCTTACCCTGCAAATGACACTTAAAAACCTTTATTTATGTGTAACAATTGTGAACAAGTGCCGCAGTGCGACAGGGCTCATCTGGTGTCTGGTTTTCAGCTGATAAATTCATTTGTGCATAGCAAGACATCTTATACATAAGTCTTCTTTATTCTTGTTTGACTTTCATAGCCAATTCGAACAAATATATCAGCTACACTTTCGCACCCACCTAATCTCTATGCATTGCAGACACATGTGCATTGCAGGTTGGCAGGCAACAATTATGATTAGAAGCGTGCCAGCCATGGGCTGCCCCGTGTTTTTGCCTACCCACGCGAGAATTCACTGATTCAGCCTTCAGGGTGCTATAGACAGACTGCTTTAGAAAATAATATGATTTAGGGAGCGTAAACCTTGTTCAACAAACATTCCTTTGCAATTCAACTGTGCACACTGTAGCCTCACATTCACGAACAGGTTATGGGCTTAATAATGCAAATAGCAGTTCAGTCTTTGTTAAACGATCAACAAAATCAATTTTAAGCCCTCCTCTTGAGGATCAACATTCCGACATTACTCTTCGCATGTCACTGCGAGAAGTACACATTCATGTCTTTCAATAAAGCCATCAAAATGGTAGTCACCGCTGAACACAAAAAAGTTTTTCCAATTCGGTCCGTCAGACATTGTCTCAGAAAATGTCTAAAATCTGCCGTGTGCCCATTGACCTTTGACCCGTGACTCCAATTTCTGCACATGATGGCTTTCCACCATGATGCTAACACAGACTATCACGAGCCTAGGTCGCCGTTAGATTTGTGTCCGGCAATTCTGTGCATTCCTCCCTAGTACCTTTAAGTAAGGAAAGAATGTGCCACCTTCTTTCTACAGCCACTCTTGTATCCTTTGACCTTGACCCCCAGCTTACGACATCCAAACTCCGTTTCGGATTACCGACCCCAGCTCAACGCACGACGCCCCCCACCCCCCACGCCGTACGCGAGCGGTTAAGAGTTGAGCCCACTGTTGACGCACCGGACCGCACGACCCGGCCGACGGACGGACGGACCGCACGTCTCATCGCTCCGGATTCTAGCAAGTCTGCATCTGACTATGTCAGATGAGCTAATAATAAGGGGAGTTTGACAAACAAGGACAACTCCACATTCACGAGCAATAATCTATCTATTATGTATTTACCCAATAAACGATTTATTATATACAACTCAAAAAACACAACTCGAAATTTCTTACGTGACCCAACTATATTTTTTCAGTAAAAAACAATAAACAATAAGTTTTTACCATAATATTACTTACCTTTAGGTATTTTCTCAAAAAAATGTTTTTGTAACTTTTGAAGCAATAGTAAATCCAGTAAAATCAACGATTTGAAAGGGGGCGGGCATGGCCTAATAGTGACGTGGATTTCAATTTTGGGAATCTGTTCTGAGCTTTGTAATGGATGACCGGATGCGTAGCCACTGTGAACATTAAAATAACCTCGTGTCTAAACGCCCTCAAACAACAACCTCACCCACCCCTTGTCCTCTCTCCTTCACCTTCTTTTGATCCTTCATTCCCCTCATCCCTTCCCCTTCACACCTATTTCCACTTCCATCTTCTTCCTATTCCTTCTGCTTCCTCCACGCTTTCCTTGCTGCCTCCTCTACCCCTCCTCCAGCTTTCTAGGCTTTCTCCTCCTCCACCATGGTTTCGCTGTTGCTTCATCCGCTCAGCTGCCCTAGGCCAATAATCGAGCATTTCTACAGCGGGATAACCTATCATTACCTCATAGGAGCCCTAATTCACGCAGTGTACACACATTTTACATCAGTAGTATCCATGGTGCACATTGGGCTTAATACAGTAAGAAATCCCTTAGGCATTTAAAATGTATGCCACTGCCTATTGATAAACGTAGTGATTGGACAGTGATAAGCAGAACTGCGACTTTTTCATGCAACTCGACAGCGATTCTAGAATCGCTGTAAAAATTGCTGTGAAATTGTGTATGTCTGCGGGAATGTGTAACTGCAACCCGTAGCGATTCTGGTTGCTTGCGACGAGTTGCAAGAAATCAAACTGTTTTTATTTCGAGTGACTCGTTGCTCCCAATCGCTCCCAAATTGCTCTAGCATTGCTTCAAAATCGCACGTGTGCGCACACGCGGTGGGTGACACATCGTCCGATCACTTGCGGTTGCAGGTTGCAGCAACGAGCAACCAAAAATCTCAGGTCTAGATCTGCGCTAGGCTTTACACGTATGTAATGCCCAGGTGCTTGTATACACCTTTTTAACGTGCAGTGTTATAGGGGTACAAATTGTGGTAAGTCGAGTTTGAGTTGAGGGTGGCGGGGTAAATTTCGGACGTTTATCTTGCTGGCTAGCGTATTTTGCTATGTATCATGGGATACCTGTAGCTTAGTCTGTCACGTTGCACAGATTCACTTCTGTGTGCGAATCAGAAACGCTGTTACAGCAGTTTTAAACACGCTGTTGCTGCGCACGTTCGTTTACATCTAGAGATGATGACATGAGAGCGTGCATTAATTAGTGGGCGGTGAATGAGAGATTGAAACAAATCAGTTATTTTGTCGTTATTTATAAGAACATGACTTTTTCTCAAGTTTATTAATCAGCTGTTAAGTTGTGGCAATCGGCCACAGATAAGTCGCAGTGAATTACTAACACTACAGTAGCAATTGTACATACCTTGGCCAATTCTAACACAGTCTTTCAATCATCATAAAATGTACAGAATCGCGAATACCTCCGTTGTTACATGCTGCATTTGCTGTAGTGCGAGCCGACGCAGACCCCAGTACTCAGTAGTGGGGTTAAACCCGCACCCTCAGATTAGCAAAGCGGCGTTATAACGTCGAGCGTGTACAACATTTGCTGATGTTTCAATACCGATTTCTTGGAACTCACAACTCCGATTCCAAAGAGTTTGGTGCCATTTTAACGCTAATGTAGTAATGGAGTAAAAAAGTAATTTGCACTGGAGTAAGGGCCAAGGTGTCTCTGGATTCCTTATGAAAGATTAGATTTTAATTTTTAAACGTTTAGGCTCTTTATTTACGTTATTGTTGAATGTTGTGTCATAAAAAAACATTACAGAGTTTCGTGCATCTTTTAAACTTATTTCCTAAAATAAACAATTCCAGTGACCCTTATGCGCATTTATGTTGTAATTTATGCCTTTTGCCTTTACACAGTCACTGTGGGTCATAGGGTCTATGTCCCCCAGGGTACTGCCGGAAAGTACCCTGGGTACGGTCCGGTATACCGGAACGTAACCTGGTCACTATTTGATATGATTAGGGTTAGGGTTAGGGAGTAGGCGTAGGCGACTCTCTAGACTCGTTCGTGGAGTAGGCGAGGTACGGTCCGGCATATTAGATAGTACCAGGGTACCTTCCGGCAGTACCCTGGAGGACATAGACCCTCTCAGCGTCACTGTGTCATAGCTCTAGTACTTTAGCCCAAGTACAGTTGCCACTGGCCACTGGCCAGTTACCACTGCCAGTAGCAAGTGGCAACTGTACGCGGGCTATAGTACTACTACTAGTACTAGAGCTAACTGTGTCATTGATACCTACCTGTTCGTAACTCTTTGTCACGTTAGTGAGTGTAACCGCGAGGTGTAAGTAACCTCATATAAACCTCATAATCATATTCATAAATATTACTATTAGTCTTCAAAAGTCCTAGGGACTATAAGTATAACGAAGAAGTATCCGCGAGAACTACTATTACTATTACTATTAGTATTAAGATATATACACATTACCTAACCCGACCAGGCTGTGTGACTAACGTCAATACACCAGGGTATTACACCAATAAATCAGGGTATTCTAACCCTAGCAATACCGTTTCTTGGAGCTACACATTACCCAGAAAACTTATACTAATACTTACTAATAGTAATAGTACTAATAGTAATAGGGTTTATATAAAGATGACACACTTACGATTACGATTGCTGCCAGCGTCGCCACGACGAGATTCTTAAACATTCGACTCTGATTCGACCTAGTTTTGGTAGCCGAGAAATGAGAAAATAATCGCCCATCAAAGTCTACGAGCCAGCTACCGTACACCGCGCTGTTGTAAATAGTTGTGTAAATACCATAGAGTTGTATAATAATATAATAATTATTACTATTATACAACTCTATGGTAAATACGTCAACCAAACTGACGTCAACTACCCGGTTACCCAGTCAGTCGACGAAGAGCGTTGCGGGTCGGTGGCGCTCTCGGGTGGAAGCACAAGAAACGAAATGGACACACTGGTCAAGGCGCTTCTACTCTGGAAGTAAATTCCAAATTACTCTGCAAAATGACTGTGCATCGTTAACGGATAGTGATAAGGAAGGAGTGTTATAATTTATTGTTTAAAGAATTAAAGTAGAGGGAACTAAATCACGAGTATAGTCTGGAACGAGGAAATGAAGAGGCGGTGGTAGTGATGTTGGTGGTGGAGGAGTAAGAGGAGAAGTAGGAACAGGTGAATTAAGGAGGAGGGGGAGGAGGACGACGGGGAGGAGAAGGTGGAGGACGAAACTGTGAGGGGAAAGGATGAGGAAAAGTGAGAGAATAATGCGGAGGGAGAGATAACGGAGGTGTACGATGAGGAAAAACAAATGGATGGGAGAAGTCGAAAAGTCGGTAAGGGAAGTATGGAAGTCGAAAGGAGAAGGGATGTACGTAGATTGAGATGAGATGCGGAGAGGTTGAAAGATAGAGTAAACAGGAATTTTCTTATTTTACTTTCTACTTCCAGCTATAGTACCCAAATTTACTCATCCCTCCACACATTCTGTGATCGCGCAAGCCTACTATATTTGCCAGAAACTCACATACTATTTATTGTATTGACACACACACATTCCCGAGCAGTTCCTCCTACCTGTCATACCTGATATGCGCTATCGCAGTGACTCGATCACTTTAGGCTATCAATTACGAGGTTTTCTGACCAGGTCTTCCTAAATTTCGTATGTTGTAGCCATAAATATCATCATTATCAAGTGTCTATAATAGAAAATTAATATAATAGATGAATAGATCTTCTATTATGGACTCTTGATATCATATAATCATAACCGTGTTGGTGCATGCCGAGTATTTACCATACAAAACATTATTTTGTATAAATTATACAGAAAATAGTAAAATAGAAATCAGAAATTTGTAGATAGCTTGAGAAGAGAGATAGAAGGAATAGGTGAAGGATTAGGAGGAGGGGTAGGGGGAGAAGGAGCTCGGAGAGGGGAAAGAGTTGAAGCAGATTAGCAATGTTGAGAAGGACGGAAAATATTGCTTGTACGAGATGGAGGAGGACAGGGGAAAGCCAGGTGGATAAAGTAGGATGTGGAGAAGAAGGCACAGAAAGTCAAGAGGATTTCGTTATTAGCTGTAATGCGTCTAGTTTACTCAATTTATAAATATTAACTTTTATCCCGCAAGTGCACTATTTGCCAAAAACTCATGCTTCTGTTAATATTATATATTTAACTTATGGAGCACATATTCTCCATGTTTCCACAGTTTGATGTTGAAATGGTCTCTCTTACTTTGTCAATACCAAATTGTCTTCTCTCTGCCTCCCAAATTCGTATATATTGCAGTATGATTTCTTATAGTATCAGCTCTGGGGCACGCAGCATGCCCAGTGTCTTCCACATGGAATATTTCTTGCTTAAATCATAGAGAGCAGAATGTCATAGCTAGTTTGACAAGGGAGATAGAAACAGTGCTGGATGACGAGAAGGAGGGGGAAGAGAAGGAGGAGGTGGTGAGAGTAGTGAGCAAGATAGAGGAAGACGGAGACTAATGCGTGTAAGAGGTTTAAGAAGACGGGGGAAATCCCAGGTTGATAGGGTAGGTTGTTAGGAAGAAGGCGTGCAGGGATTCATGGGTATTTCGTTATATGTCTACAGCTTTGCCAATTTCTACGATCTCTCCGTTTGAGAACGACTAGGCCTACTGCTTGCCAGAAATTCATTACCTTCTGTTGAAATTATATTTTATTTAAAATGGGGAGTACATTTTCTTGTTCAGTTTGATTACAAAACGTCTTTAACCCCTGGCTCACTTTATCAGTCCCAATGTTCCCTAGCTCCGTCCTTCTAAATCCCTTATGTTGTGGTATAATATCCTATAAAGTCCGATATAAATTCATAAGTCAAAAAAATATTATGTTCCATAAAGTCATATATGTGCACGCATGCCCAATATCTGCCATACGAAACATTACTATAGAAAGTCATAGCATGTTTGAGAAGGGAGATAGAAGGGAAGGCGGTGAGGATGGGGAGGAGGGGGAAGAGAATAAGGATGTGGCAAGAGAGAGAGAGAGAGTGGCAAGGTTGAAGAAAGTGATTAGTTTGAAAAGGGGGCAGAGGACAGGTCATTAACATGTGGATAAGGACGTGTTTGAGCATGTCTAAAATCTGTCAGAAACTCAATATTCTGTTGAAATAATCTATATGTTGTCAGTATTCTATTTAAAATAGAGAGAACATGTTGCCGAGCATTTTTGTCTGTCAAAGGTTTATCGAAGTGACTCACGTCTAGAAAACTAAAACTCCCACTAAAAATAGTCATACTCATAGCTAATTTGAGAATTGTGAGGACGGAATGAAGAAGGAGGATGAAGAGAGGGAGTTTCGTCAGTTCCCCCATGTATTCTGTGCTCGCGTAAGCCCACTACTAATTACAATTTAACGTAGAGAGCACAAAGTCAAAACTAGTTTGAGAAGGGAGATAGAATGGGGTGGTGGGCGGAGTAGGTGAATAAAGAAGAAGAGAAATATGGAGGGGAGGAGAAAGAAAAGAAGAAAGAGGAGGGAGATGCATGGAAAGGTAAGGGAAAAAAAAAAGAATTTGAGCTTCACTGAGACCGATTCTTGATCGACCAATGTGGTCATCTGTTAGCATCGTGTTAGCCATCGCGATGAATGATATAATCAGGCCAATTTTTGTCCAATTGTGGAGATATGTATCACCATGAAGCTAAACATTAGCCTTCCTAACAAATAAAAATCAAATTACGACATAATACAGTAAATGGCAAAGGCAAAGTAGACAACACGTATATTTTAGAAATCCGGGTCGATAATCTACACCACCGTATACCAAATTCCATATAAACCAGGTCGATCTGTTGCTCAGAATTACAGACAACTAAATACACATGGTTATTTACAAACAAAATTCACCTGCGTAGTAAATGAAGGCTCATTATATTCAAAGTTGTCAATTATTGCGTTCTGACCACGCCCAAAAAATAAACTTTCTGGCGTGTTCATCGATAAAAGACTTTCGATTCACAAGTTCGAGTCTTAGGATCCATATTCGCTATGTAATCTGCAATAAATCTAACAGCGTGGGCAATATACTTTGCATGGACCCATATGCTGATACAGCGTTAAAGTTTATATAACTATCTAAACAAACCACGGACAACAAATTGAACAATAGGCCTATACTAAAACAATTCAGACGTTATCTGTATGTATAACCCATATCGACAAAAAAGATGCCATTTTCTCTAACAATACGAAAAAGTTGAAACTACGACACATTCCTTGATTTGTTTGTGGATTTACGTTATTTGTCTCTCTTCTACTTTTTCTTGTTGACGTTCTTTGTAAAAGCAGTATTAAAAGCGAAGCGAGCCGCCCTCTGCTAGAAAATATTTGTGTTGGCCACCCCATAGAGAAGTTATTAACTACAGAACTGTCCATATTACCAGCTAAGAAATGCATAGCGACGCCCATTTTAGATGCTATTATCAACAACCCGTCTAAACTACCCTTACAGATTGTGCAAAAATTCCCAAATTTTTACCTCATAACACACAAACAAACACACAACCACACACACAGACACAGACACACACACACACACACCACAACACACACACACACACACACACACACACCACACACACACACACCCAACACACCCCACACACCACACACACCACACACACACACACAAACACGCAACGCGCCGCGCACAACGCACAGCAACACACGCACGCGCACGACACACAACACACACACACACACACACACACACGCACAGCCACCACAACACACACACACACACACACATCACACACACACACACACACACACCACGACAACACAGCACAACACACAACACAACACTACACAACACAATACACACACACACTACACACACGTACACACACGTACCAACACACGTAATACATCACAACACATTCCACACCACACACACACACCACGCACAACATCACACACACACACACGCCCACACCACACACACACGACGAGCGCGCAATGCCGTCACAACACACGTCACACACACATGCACACACATGCACACCGCGCGCACACACAACAGCACAGCACACATACACACACACGGCCACACACAACACCCACACACACACATCACACACACGCTGACGCGCAACAACACACACACACACACTCTGTGGCACACACACACACACACACACAACGCACGCACGCACACACATACAACGCACGCACGCAACGCACGCACAGCAACGCACGCACCCGACGCACTCAACTCACACCACAACACACACTCCACACTCAACACTCACACTCACAACCACACCACATCACACTCACACTCACACTCACACTCACACGCGCGCGCGCGAGCCCGCAGCACCACACACACAAGAAGAGAGAGAAAAAGAGAGAAAGAAGAGAAAAGAAGAAAGAGAGAGAAAGAGAGAAGAGAGAGAGAGAGACGAGAGACGCGAAGAGAAAAGAGAGAGAAAAGAGAAGAGAAG